AAAAAAAAAAAAAAAAATTTCCTCACCGGTTTCGGTTTCTGAGCCTTGTTTTCAACCCAAGTCGGAGTAAATGAACCGCTTTTCATGGAGAAGTCGCATTTCCGCTAAAATATTAAAGGGGTTAAAACTTCAGTTAAAAAGCAAAAAATTACAAGTACCACTTTCTAACAAGTGTTTCAAAAACGTTTTAAGAGTACTGGAACTATTCTGTACTAATTACCCCTGATCCAAATGTGCTCGGGGCGTTTGCGGGAGCTGTTGCAATGTCAATACCAAGATTTTTTAACTGAGAAATGTCAACAGGACATGACGTTGCCAACGCAAACTCTTTGATAATTTCTCGCATGAGATACATATATCGCCGTCCATATCTTTTATTTGCCATGTCAACAACCGGTTCCTAGAAAAAATGAATCTGGCATCCCATAAGGGTGGCAATGACAAAAACATAAATTGATTTCGGTAGTTTTTCAAGACGATTATGAATAGCTAAGAAGTTAATGAAAGTTACTTTCTCATTCAAAAGTTCTTGACGCTTCGCTTCGAATTCTTTTCTTTTTCTTTCTTTAGCCGCCTCCTCAGACTCCTTTTCTTCAACAACTTCTGTAACTTCGACAGGAGCAACAGGTTTGGTTTCTGTAGGTGTCTTTTCCACCAGCTCAACACTTTGACTAGAAAAGCAGCGAACTTTCAGTAAAAGAAACTGAACTTTCTTTCTACTTCAAATATACAAAAAAAATAGGAGAATCCTAACATTGGTAAAGCCTTATCGGGTTGATCTTCAACAGCGTCAACTTCGACAGAATTAGACGTAGCAGTTGTCGACTCAGGTTTTGATTCCGTTACTGCAGGCGCCTCAACTTCTGAGTGTAATTCAAAAGTTTCTTTTACAGGCTCATTGACTTTTGTCGTTTTTTCATTTTCCTTTGCATCCCCTGTGGTGTCTTTTGTGGTGCCTGCCATTTCCACTCCAGAATCAGTCGTATTTGTTGCTGACGCACTATCGGTTGAAGAACAAATATCACCAGTTTTTGGTTCTTCTAAAACTAAAAAATAAAGATTTCCTGAAAAGAATCTTATTTTATATACACTATGACTTCCTAATAATTAAAAAATACCAGCAAATCCTAAAACAAAGAATAAGAAAAATAATTATTCCAAAACTGCAAATCAAGCTTAACATAATGAAGAAATAAAACATTATAAAAAATGTTGACCTTTCTCAGGAGTATGGGCTTCGGTCACGTCTGGTCTTCCGCCAGAAGAAACTTCAGCATTAACAGAAGGGAGTTCAGCCTATATAAACTAGATAAATATTAAAAAAGAAAATAACGCACTTCTTCACAAGGTAGCAAACACTAAAAAGCCCTTGTGTAAAATAAACTATCAGAAAGTATGTGAAAATGACGCACAACAGTCAAAATTTTGTGCAAGAAGTACCTGTTTCACAGGCTGTGCCGGCCGTGTTGGTTGTGGCGGATGATTTGATACTGGTTCTTCTATAACTCCAGGCGGTGAACCTGTAGAAGAACTTGGTGCATTAAAAAATGAATTGGCCACTTGGCGTTGTAGAGCTTGAGACGCATTTGAGCGCTCCGGTAATGCACCACGCGAAGGCGTGTCTAGCGCCACCGCGCTCCGCCTACCACCTGTGATAATACATAAGCTTCACATAAACTTATCATTCAAGATATGCCTGCTATCTTATAGTGGCCATATGCCAACGTATCCAGTTCGCATATAACACAAAAGTTGGGCGATCGAACACTACTGCGCTTTAACCAAACACTCAGCTTTGTTGCAACAAAACGCAAAACGAGGGAAGCGCACGAACAAAATCAAAGAACTTTTGTAATCACTCATTTTTTTTAAATTAAGACAAACTGGTTCTATAAACAATGAAATAAACTTTCCTGGCAAACTAAAGAAATTTTTTAAGTGCGGCATAATAAAAAAAAAAATAACTAAACTGAATAACAATGTGTATAAACCAAAACAACAGTGATATCTACAAATTTTCTGGGAAAAGCATAGG